CGGAAAAAAAAAAAAAAAAAGCAAGGAGAAGTTTGGTGTAAGGAAGCTACATGAATAAACTATACCCGAATTATCGACCATTTAGTGGTCATACCATAATTCCACAAGAGGACCACAAAAAATCACGGACTCTTCATGACTCTTCATTTATCTCTGCTATGATTTCCTTCACCCCTCCCGGAAACGAGGCCAAAACTACATTACTATTGCTCGTTCCGTTGGCTTACTCGCTTTCAACTCAATTGTATGCAGATTCTCCTTTTATATGATATTCTTTGAAGCGCAGATGAGTAGAGTTCTCGGATTTTGAACTCATTCAATTGAATCGATTACTATATCGTCGCCTAGTACTGCATACTTCTCAAAGAATGATGACTCCCGTGGAAGGACTAATTGGTAGAGAATGGAGCCAATGCCACATCACTCTTTTATTGATTATACTGACTGACCTCCGTGGCACTATCAGGGAAAGAATCAACCCCCAGCCACAGGTTGAGTTTCTCCAATTTCTTTCTTCGGAGCTTAGCTTAGGAAAAACATATTGGTTCTTCTAGGCAACTACAAAACACTTCCGCTAAAATGGCAGACTACAGAACTCCCCATGGAATATATTCCATGTTTAACATGATTTTTTCCTTTAAATATAGAAGAATGTGAATATTTTGATCATAAATTGCAGACAACAGAATGGGATGTCATGACGTTTCTGTTGTGTAACATACCAATCATGATGCAACAATCTTCACAATTGTCAGTTTATAAAGTGGCTATTACTCATCAGATTACAAGTTAGAAACCAAGGTGTGAATCTTGAATCCCCAAAATTATTTCCACAGCCAAGTGTCGTAAAACTAGTTTGAAGTCAGGTACTGAATATTAAATTAAACAAAAGTCTTAAACCTCTAACCAACTCTTACATTTGTTTTCTTTTCTTCTACCGCTAAGCTACTAAAAGCAAATGTTGTGTTTGTTCCGTTTTACCACTGCTACTGGAAAATCTATTTACCACAAAAATATCATCAATTTATATTTAGAAACCTGAAGAATAAGAAATGACAAAAAAAAAAAAAAAGAAGAAAAAAAAAGAGACAGAAGTTTAGATAGAATAACTAGAGCCTTTTAAAATGTAAAGCAAAAGGTAGCTAACATGAGCTTTAGGGTTTACATCTTCTTTATGTTTACTAAGTTTCCAGAAACCTCGCATTTACCTAGATAAGCAAGAGCAAACAACATGATTAATGTACTTTTAAAGAGAATTGGTTTACTGGGATTTTGTTGGGAAGATTTGATTTTGATTTCAATTCTCTATGGATTTTACTTCAGGAATCCTTTGATTAGTGAAATTCATGTTTGATGCTTGAATTGTTTCTCCATTTGGTTCGCTTGTGGAATTTAAATCTTTAAACCTTATCTGGAATATTAATCCCGATAACAAGCTAACATTAGTCAGAGCGTACCCATTCAAGCATTTCAGCATTCAGAACTTATCCTTCATTAGCAACCAACACAATATATGGTCATTCCTCAAGTTATGAAAGCTAGTTATTATTCACATAAATTTTTCATTGGAAAACTCACAACGCAAGAAAATCACAGTACCAACCGTGGCCTAAACTGAACTGATAAAAGAAGCTGAAACATAGAAAGCAAAATCTCAATAAAGATCACTTCATAGAATCATCACGATAACATAATACGATCACAATCCACAACAGTGAAGCAATTACCAGTGGGAAGGAGAAAGACAAACCTTGGAAAAAAAAAAAAAAAAAAAAGAGAGAGCTTTGGGGTAAGGAAGCTACAGATGGTATACATGAATAAACTGTCTACCACTCTACAATCAGCATGAGTAAAGTAAAAGAAAATTTACGTACTCGATCAACAACTTCTATAGGAGATTGATGCTCTTCCATCCACTTTAATTCTTCCTGCGATTTGAATACAAAATAAAGAAATAATTAAAAAAAAAATGAAATAGAGAAAGATAAAATCATAAAAAATACAAACTGAATATTTCATTTATTTATTAATAACTAATAAATGAAGGATTACATGAAACTGGCACGCAAATATTTAATTACAAAATTGAAAAATGAACTTGAGAGACTACCTCAAAACGATCCCACCGATCGTTTTCATCTTCGTCATCATCAGCCTTTTCTTCTACCATATCAACTATATTTTCTTCTGGTACATTATCTAACTCCCCAGGCAGCATTTTGTAACTCCAATACCCAATTAATATAATTAAAAGCCCCCTTCACAAAAATAAATAACGAGAAGCACTAGAACAATCAATTTCTAGCACGATACCAAAATAATGTGCAGTCAAGTAGTACAAAGTCTACCGCAAAAACAACACCACACACTCATACAACTCCAAGCAAGTCCACGTATACAGATGTATATAAACAGCGAAAAAAAATATATCAACAATACCAACAATAGGAACAAAATAATGCATAGAAAATGAAAATAGGTTCACATTTATGTGCATGCATGAAAAATAAACACCTCACTTCATCATTGTTGCAGGAGGGTTGGTAGCTTTTAAAATGTGTTTGAAAGGTTTATGTCTCTTCATACGACACATCCGTTGTCCAATATCTTCATCTTCAACTCCATCGGAAAGTTCTTCTATGACAGTGGTCACAACAGATTCCTACAAAATTGAAAATGAGCTCGTCAATAATTATGCCATGATCTAATAACTTGGGATCCAAGTCAGTCAACCATGAACGTTAGCATAAAGCAGAATTACCCGCTCGCAAATAAGATCATGAAGCGCCAGCCTGAAATATTCATTTCTCCACGTTTTCCACACTAGAGTGAAATGCTTAACTGCAGCATCATTGAGAGAGCCATTCTCGAGTGTCGTAGAATCTTTTAGTGCCTCCAAAAGTTGTTTTGCTGTCTGAACCAGAGACTCGTTTTCTGCCAGTCGATCACAAAAGCGGCATATGAATGGATCCTACACAAATTTCGGTATGATGAACTGATTACATAGATAAAAATAACAAGGATAACGATTAATGCCCAAATAAGAACAAAAAAATGAAGTACGATTAAAGAGAGACAAAAGGGGAAAACGAAAACCCTAATTTCACTTTGGTGAACTAGAAAATTGAGGGAATCAAATAAAGGAAAATAATGATAATACGAACCTCGAGAAATCTACTGGTGATGGAGGGATCGAGCAGCTCCGGAACAACTAATTGCACGAATTGTAATACATCATTATAAGGATTTGTAGAAGACATTTAAAGTTTTGAAAAACAATGAATTGCAAAATCAAAATAAAGAAACGGGTAAATCATGAAAAAAAATTAATACAAACGATGAAGAATTACATATTTTTAAATAAAAACTTCTTTCTATACAAACATTTTTTGTTTTGGGGGCAAGTCATGTTCACCACATAAGCTAAAGTGCGATAAGGGTAGACCATGGCTCTTGTTAATTGTCATTGCATAAAAAATCACAATAGGAAATCTCTTGTTAATTGTCATTGCATAAAAAATCACAATAGGAAATTGTCTTCGTTGAAACTTAAAAAGAATTCTTGCATTAGAAGGAGTTATAGTCATATGAGGTATCAACACTTTATCACCTGTGTTGTCACCAGTAAGTATCTCACATTCAAGGACATGATTGGAGATTTTGGTTACGACCAAACGTGTCCCGTTGCATAATTCTATAGAATGGTCCATATTCTGAAACAACATCACATGAGTTCTTACCTTCAAATGCAACTCATGATTTGATGTCCCAATTTCAGAGAATTTAAGAACTCATGAGTGTAGAGATCTGCCAAAAAATCAGAATTCAATTGGATTTAACGTACGTGATGTCTGAGTTTAAATAGATACGACTTCCTGTAAGATTCAATGAAGACATGTATTGATTGATAAACTCCACAATCTCCAATGTCGGTGCAAAAATAAATCTATGTTCCTTTTTAAATTTCAAATATGGTAATTAGTTAATTGTAGGTTTGAATATTTAAATTTGAAGTTAATTTTGTGTATATTATAAATAGGACCTTTGTATTCATTATTGGAAAAAAGTTAAAAGTAACAAAAACTAAAAAAAGACTCGTTTTCGAGTACAGTCTTTGTGGAAAACTTAGGCCGTTAGTGCAGGTTTCACTTGTTAATGTGTGAACCAAGGCCGTTGGTACGGGTTTACACATTTTATCGTGTTCGAACCAAGACCGTTAGTACGAGTTTCTACACAAAACCGAGTCCCGATACACAATCTTCATACATATTTAAATTTAAAAAGAATTTAAAAAGAAACTAACGTAATAATCATATCTAAATACATAGATAAAATTAACTACTCCCGCCATCATCCACGTGATCGGATTTTCACTCGAAAGTCCGGTTCGCATCAAAGTGTGTGAGGACAGGTTACAAAATCCAAAGTAATGGGGGCAGCTGAAACAAATTCGGGCATAATATCACCTTAACAAAATATCAGCATTAACCATATTTTAAAATTTTGCCTTGGTAAGACGAAAACTATTTGTAAACAAAAATAAATGCATAAAAGTAATTCAGTTGCTGTAAAAATGTACAAAAAATTTGGAGTAACATTTTTATCTATACATAAAATACAAGTAATGAGGAGGGTAATTGATGCAGACCCTAGTAAGATATTGTCCGCTTTGGGCTACTTCCGCCACCCGCACGGCTTTGTTCTTGGTTGGGCTTCAATACACACCCACCAAAACGCGTCTTACTAGTGAAGGTATCCACATCCTCATATAAGGCCTGCTTCGTTTCCTTTCAAACCCGATGTGAGATGCGCTGCATCATCCACCCCCCTTGTGGGCCCAGCGGTCACCGCTGGCACATGGGCTGGCTCTGATACCAACTGATGTAGAGGATGTATTCGAAAGGGAAGAACACAATTTCAAGAGAGAACAGATATTTTAATTTCACGAATAAAAACTGATATCCTTTCTTCTGTTCCCAGTACATAAATAAGGAGTTTCCACTAACTTCACTAAAAGCATGATAAAATCCTAATAATTAAAGAAACACCCCCTTATTAATAAAAATAACACAACTGCAACCACTAAAATAAATAACCCAAAAGGGAAAATAGACAATAAAATAAATATGCTAGACGCATAAACGGTTATATTTCTGCAAGAACATCAACGCGGCCTCATCTCCATCAGTAATTTTTTCAAAAGAAAGTGCAGATAGACAAAAACACACGGGAGTTTTGAGGTTGGTGACTAATATTAAGTGGCACAAAAAAAACTATCCTCCGTATATATAATAATCCAACTAATAATTCACACAATGCTTAGATGACAACCGATCAACAAATATATGCCATGTCAAAGCCACACCAACATTGCCAGTAAAACACAGTGTGCTGCAAGTGAAACACAAAGTCGCATGGAATTTAATCACATCGAACAGCAGCACCCACAGCAGCACACAAACCTTTATACAATCGAGCACTCACATTCAACTTCACATCATAATTCAGCCGTCTAGCCTCGACTTCACTTCCGTATTGCCTAATCTTAAGCTGCAGTGAGAAATATAGATATAGCCCATAAGCTAAAAATGTTTTAACATCTGAAAGGTGTGAACAATATACAGCACTAACAAAATTAATAATGATTATAATATATATATATGTCAATAGGAGGACAGAGAAGGCTAGGAAAAGAAAACAATGTCAAAAACACATAATTTGGAGAAAGTAAACTATGAGACAGACTTTCTAGAGCATTCTTTACCTCATTAAAAATGTGCGTACAAGATCTATCATCATATAGCTTATGTAATGCTGCCTTCAAACCCTGGTTATCATCATCGAGAACATATTTATTAATTTAACAATTGCGGGGGAAGTGAATAAAATAGATAAATGGGCATATAACCATACCTCCAAGTCACCGGCAAACCTGGTGCTATATCTAATTTCACCCGATGTCTTGTCATTGCCCCGAGCATTCCTAAGGTAAGTAACGAGTGCTGATTGCTCTCGAGCATACTCAACATATTTCTCGGTTAACTTCTCATATACCGAATTATGACTCCAATAAACGATTAGAATACTCAGAAAAATCCTAGAGGAATGAAAAGAGAAAGATATATAAATGTTTGTTTCAATAATGAAAATTTCTGATCTTGATTAACGAGAAAAACCATAACCAGTCATTCTCTAGGGTTAAATAAAAAAGGAAAAAAAAAAAAGAAAGAAAGAAAAGAAGTGAGAACACACCTCAGGGCTCCACCAACGTCATTCTTTTCAATTCGTTGCGCATAAAGATGGAACCCAGCATCCTGAATAATATTATAAACTACTCCTACTGCATCCTTACTTTGGATCTTTGCTCGCTCAAACGCAAATTTGCGTAGTTCCACGCGGACTTCAGTGTACTGATGAGAGAGAGAGTTAGAGGGTCAGGTGATCAAAATTCAACCTATTTGAGAACCATCACATTATATTAACATTAAAAAAAGATAAAGAGATACCCTCTTAGTTCTCTCGGCAAGTAGATGAATGAAGTCAGGATCATCCAGGACCTCATATGCTAGTTTATAATGCTGTTCCACAGAACATAAGGTGCGGGCATCTTGACGATCAAAACTGTGAAGGGCTGCCATACATTGTAGTGCCTTTTTGGAAAGGGATGGATCTGCTTTTAAGTCCTCCGCTAAGTCATTGATAGCTGGTTCCTAAAAAAGTACAAAATATTAATCTACAGATAATCTCTAGTTAACTGGTGTATTGGACAAATAGTTTGTCATAAGTATGGTTATTCTAACTATACCCGAATACCCCGAACTATGGACCCGTTAGTGGTCATACTCATAACATAATTCTATCGGGCCGACACAATAACGACATGGACACGATGAGGTTAAACACTAACATGTTATGTTCGTGTCGTGGAGTCATGTCCGGAATTGCTAGCCAAAGAATCACATGTTTCCCTTCTACTCTGTACGTTTTCTCTACAAACTAATTATCATCTATACATTCATTTCCCTTAAAATGTTGGTATGTTCTTTAATTATTTTACTGAAGCGATAATGTTATCCTCACAAGACAATGTCACACTCCCAAAAATCAAAGACAAGCATCCTCAATCGGTACAGACAATACTTTGTCAGATAAATGACTGTCCAGAATCCTGATATAGAAAATGACACCAACGAATCAATCAGTAATTATTCTGGAAAATAATGAAGGGAGGTATTACAAGAAGAAAAGAACATCTAAAGGGGAAGATAAGCAATACTGCAGCTAGCTCAAGCTGTCAAAAAGAAGCTAGCAAAAAATTATGGAAGCTTGAGAAGAACAGAAAAGAAACAAGGGTCAAACAATCTGAAAGGTGACAGTGTGAAACCGAAGATGGTTTATACTTCGGACTGCAAAATATTTTTAAAAGAATATGTAAAAAAATATGTAAAAATTAGAAGATGAAAGTTCCGCTCTTGCTCTTACTAATGACACTGAGACAACGAAGGCTATTCTGAAGGGATAAATTGATCCTTATGGTGAAAAGACAAAGGAGAAACATGAAGAAAAAAAAAAGTACAGAGAGTTTTGGTGTAATGAAGCTACATATGGTATACATGAATAAATTATACCTTATCTATAGACCATTTAGAGGTCATACCATAATTCCACAAGCATCTCTGTTATGATTTCCTTTACCCCTCCCGGAAACTAGGCGAAAATAAATTACTAGAAAATACTTTCCCTAAAATGGCAGACTACAGAACTCCGCGTGGAATATATTCCCTGTTTAAGATGATTTTTTTCCTTAAAATTTAAAAGAATGTGAATATTTTGATCATAAATTGCAGACAACAGAGTTCGCACACAAGAATGGGATGTCATGACGTTTCTGTTGTGTAACATACCAAGCATGATGCAACAATCTTCCCAACTGTCAGTTTTTAGAGTGGCTATTACTCATCAGATTATAAGTTAGAAACCAAGGTGAGAATATTGAATCCACATATATATTTCCACAGCCAAGTGTCGTAAAACTAGTTTGAAGTCATGTTACTCTGGAATTTTAAATTAAACAAAAGTCTTGTACCTCTTACCAACTCTTACATGCGTTTTCTTTTCTTCCACCACTAAGCTACTAAAAGCAAATGTTGTGTTTAGTCCGTTTTCCCCACTGCTATTGGAAAATCTATTTATTACAAAGTTGTCTTCAGTTCATATTTAGAAATCTGAAGAATAAGAAATGATCCAAAAAAAAAAAAAAAGGATACAGAAGTTTAGATAGAATAACTAGAGCCTGTTAAAACGTAAAGCAAAAGGTAGCCAACACGACTTTAGGATTTACAGCTTCTTTATGTTTACTAAGTTTCCAGAAACCTCGCATTTACCTAGATAAGCAAGAGCATATAACATGATTCATGTACTTTCTCTCATTGCATTGCATGTTTCTTTGAGCAGTGAATGTATAATATCATGAAAATATAATGCCAAGTATTCAATTAAAACCATGCACTTCCCATTGACCGTGTAACTGTTGTTCACATGACATGATCACAATAATTGTGGTGTCATCACGACACAATTAGATGCAAGAAAAAATAAAAAATAAAAAAAAGGCAACATGATATTATTTGTTAACGTATGTTGACACATTATATGACTCAACAATAATATTACTAGTTTATTAAAATTTTAAACGAAAAAACATAACATATGTATCATGAAGCATCCAACAAAAACATACAAATACATCTACTTATTGGGTCATTATGGCCCCACACGTACACATCACACAGCACAAAATTGTATGTCGATCGAGCCGACACAATAACGACACGAACACGATGATGTTAAACACTAGCATGTTATGTTCATGTCATGGTGTCATGTCCGGAATTGCCATCCCTAAAATTACAGGCTCCCTTCTACTTTTTGCGTTTCCTCTTGTAACTAATTTTCATTTCTAGATTCATGTCCCTTTAAAAGTTGGTTTGGATTTTAATTATTTTCCTAAACCGATAATGTTATCCTTAAAAGACAGTGTCAAGCTCCTAAAAATTAAAGACAATTATCCTCAACCTCTACGGCCCATACTAACTCGGATAAAAGACAAAGACATTTCTGTCCAGATAAAGGACAGAAATTTCTGTCCTGGATAGAGAAAATGACACCAACGAATCGATTTGTAATTATTTTGAAACATAATGAAAGGGGTATTACAAAAGGAAAATAGCATCTAAAGGGGAAGATAAGCAATACTGCAGCCAACTCAAGCCTATTCTGAAAAATAATGGAGGAAGGGTATTATAAAAATTAGAAGATGAAAGCTCCCCTCTTGATCTTATTAATGACACTGAGACAACAAAGGCTATTATGAAGGATTAAAATTTATCCCTTCTGAAACCAACCACGAAGTGCAATTATGAGAAAAAAAGAGGAGAAACATGGAGCTAAAAAAAAAAAAAAAGCAAAGAGAGGTTTGGGGTAAGGAAGCTACATATGGTATACATGAATAAACTGTCTACCACTCTACAATCACCAGGAACAGAGCAAAAGAAAATTTACGTACTTGATCAACAACTTCTATAGGAGATTGATGATCCTCGATCCACTTCAATTTTTCCTGCGATTTAAATACAAAATAAAGAAAGAATTAAAAAAAAAAAAAGAAATAGAGAAAGATAAAATCATAAAAAATACAAACTGAATATTTCATTTATTTATTAATAATTAATAAATGAAGGATTACATGAAACCGGCACGCAAATATTTAACTACAAAAATTGAAAAATGAACTTGAGAGCCTACCTCGAAACGATCCCACCGTTTGTTTTCGTCTTCGTCATCGTCAGCCTTTTCTTCTACCATATCAACTATATTTTCTTCTGGTACATTATCTAACTCCCCAGGCAGCATTTTGTAACTCCAATACCCGATTAAAATAATTAAAAGCCCCCTTCACAAAAACAAAAAACGAGAAGCACTAGAACTATCAATTTCTAGCATCATACCACAATAAATGTGTAGTCCAACACTGAATCTATATTATAAAACCTACTTCAAAAACAAAAACACAAACTCGTACAATTCAACTTCAAAAACAACAACACAAACTCATACAACTCCAAGCAAGTCCACGCATAGATGTACATAAAAAACGAAAAAAATAACACAAAATATCAACACACCCAACACCCAACAATAGGAGCAAAAGAATGCATAGCAAATGAAAATAGGTTCACATTTATGTACAGAAATGCGAGTAAAAAATCAAAACCTCACTTCATCATTGTAGCAGGAGGGTTGGTGGCTTTTAGAATGTGTTTGAAAGGCTGATGCCCCTTCATACGACACATCCGTTGTCCAATATCTTCATCTTCAAGTCCACTGGAAAGTTCTTCTATGACAGTGATCACAACAGATTCCTACAAAATTGAAAATGAGCTCGTCAAGAATTATGCCATAACCTGATAACCTGGGTTCCAAGTCAGTTCGGCCATAAAAACGTTAGGATAAAATATATTTACCCGCTCCCAAATCAGATCATGAAGCGCCAGCCTGAAATATTCATTTCTCCACGTTTTCCACACTAGAGTGAAATGCTTAACTGCAGCATCATTGAGAGAGCCATTCTCGAGTGCCGTAGAACTTTCCAGTGCCTCCAAAAGTTGTTTTGCTGTCTGAACCAGAGACTCGTTTTCTGCCAATTGATCACAAAAGCGGCATATGAACGGATCCTACACAAATTTCGGTATCATTAACCGATTACATAGCTATAACAAGGATAATAATTAATGCCCAAATAAGAACAGAAAAATGCATAGCCATAACAAGGATAACAATTAATGCCCAAATAAGAACAGAAAAAAAAAAAAAAAAAAAAAAAAAAAAAAAAAAACTGGAAAATTGAGGGGATCAAATAAAGGAAAATCGTGATAATACGAACCTCAAGAAATCTACTGGTGATGGAGGGATCGAGCAGCACCGGAACAGCTACGCACTCCTTATCTGCGGCGTCTGGGCTCACTTTTCTCTTCTCCGCAAAACTATCCGACATTTTTTCATCCTGCAAATTGCACGCATAGTAATACATCATTACAAGGATTTGTAGAAGACGATAACAGTTTTGAAAGAGAATGAATTGCAGAATCGAAAACTACCTTAGACATTAGAATTGCAGAATCAAAACCCTTTTTCATTTTCAGCTCTCTCTGGGCAAACGTGTTCAAAATTCGGTCGAAAATTTGAAGTTCCCATCATTTTTGAACTTTGAAGAACCAGGCATTAATTTGAATTTTGGGCTTTTGGCCTAGCCCTGACAAAAAGGGGAACTTGAAATCAGAGTTTACAGGCCCAGAAGGGCTCAATGGGCTAGTTAACCAGTAAGCTAGTTAACCCATAAAACCATACGTATCCTCACAAGGATACAGAGGTACGAGCCTATAAAAACATAAGTAATAATAATGTAGAAAAAAAACTAGTATTCTAACATGAAAATGTGTATTTGTTGGCAAAATATAAAGGTCTAATGACTAAAATCTGTTAAGTATTAGTTCAGAAAATAGGACGCCAGTTTTATTTTTATATGTGCAATATTAATTATAAAATATCCTGTTGACATATCGTATTTTACTCATCAAGGTTTACTTGCTAGTAGGCCTGTAAACGATCCAAGCCCAACTCGATCTCAATAAAGAGACAAGTTTAGCTCGGCTTGTTAAATAAACGAGCCTAGAATCGAGTTCGGCTTATTTATCACTATTAACGACCCGATCTTAAATTTTAACTAGTCGAACTACATAAAATTGTATTTTTTAAAAAATAAAACAAAATTGAGTCCTATCGAGCCGAACTCGAACTTTAAATGAGCTCGGTCTTAGCTCGTTAAAGCCACGAACTCGAGCCAAAATCGAGCTTTAACGGGCCGAGCTCGAACCAGACTCGTTTAATTTAATAACGCTACTGGTATTAGTAGCAGAACTTACATAGCGTTATTTAGTTAAGTAATTCACTTTTGATATAGCACATGATAGAAATACAGAATTCACACTCATCAAAATTTACATATAATTAGTAAAATTTGCATAAGAAATTCAACTATAATATTGCACATGAAATTACGTCCATACTAATGATATTGCACATGAAATAAATTAAATTTGATTTAATTAATTTTAAGATAAGATATACTTGATCCATACTATTCATCCCCTATTAAAGTGAAACTCAAGTGAAAACAAAGTAAATCTTATTTGTAAGCATATTTGCTACAAAACGTGATTGTGTGATTGTCCACTATTTATGCCTCAACAATGTCTAACTTTACACACTTTTTAGTACAACCAAAAAAATCAAATAAAAAGCTTTATTGTCGGTAATTGCACTCCCAATTTTTAATTTATTATTATGTCATGAACTACTAATGTATATTTAAAAATTAGTTGTTTAACATGCATTAAACCTTGTCATAATGATTATATAAATCTTAGGGAACATGATTAAGCAAGTGGGCCACATCTTTTAATCCCATGACATTATATTAACCAACAACAAAGCTAAAAATAAATAGAAATAAAAAAAAATACCACCCGTGCAGTCTCTTAAACCCAAATTCCTAAGCACAAATGTATGTGATTATTAAAGTAATTATCTCCTTAATTAGAGATTATGAATCATTGGCGTGGGTGTATATTATGAGACAAGGGTTCAATACCACATATTTTAAAATTTTAAAGACGCAAACTTGATAGTATATATATTTACATTTATACAAAATAATACATATGTTATGTTATTGAACCATTCCGTCGATGTTTGTAACCGTTAGATAGTTGATCTAACAGTTACAAATCTCGACAGAATGGTTCCGTAACAGGGTTGTAGCATTTTTCTATATTTATATTATAAAATACAAATTATTATTATTTTTATTTCTTTTCCTATTTCTAGATCTCTCTCTCTCCTCCTATAATAGTTATCTATAATCAACTTTTTAAATTATTTTCATTAAATTATTTCCCTCCATATAAGTAACATATATCACAATTAATTTGAGAAAAAAAAAATAAATGAATATCATATATATATAGGCAAAATTTCATTTTTGGTCCTATAACTTGGCCACAGTCCAAAAAACCACTCATATATTGTCCACTTTCAATAAAGGTCCTATAATTTGTCCATTTAATCATTTATGGTCCTTTTTTATCCCAACCCAGGATAAAATTTTGACGTGGCATTTTTTTACCCGATGTGGCAGCCGTATGATAAATAAAACAAAAATCAATTGTGAGGTGGATAAAAGAAATTGCCACATCACCTAAGAGTCTTTAAATATCATTTTTTGCCCCAAATTGAAAATTCCCTAAACCCTAATTGAAAAGAAACCGAGAGAGAGAGAGAGAGCGAACCCGATGTCGTATGCTTCTTCCTTCTCGTCGCCTTCCAATCTTTCATGTTACTGTGGTAAGAGAGCTCAACTACGCACATCAAGGACTCCATCAAATCCTGGTAAGAAGTTTCACGGTTGCAAGAATTGGAATGATGGGGGTTGTACGTTTTTTAAATGGGAGGATGATCCAGAGAGCTCGAACAATCAGATTCTTGCCAATGAAATAATTGAGGTCAAGAACAGGATGTTAATGTTTGAAGTCGAGAACAAAAAATTGAAGGAGTGTGTTGAACTCCAGTTGCATGTGCAGGACATCTATGATGAAGAATTGTCCAAAATTCGACAAAAAATCTTGAAGCTCCAAGTGTTTGTTGTTGCGACATGGCTGCTCTTCATTATTTTTTTTTTCTATTGTTGTCTTGTGGTGAAAGTTTGAAAGTTGTATGTTTTTTTTTTCAGTCATGGATTAGATGTGTATGTGTGAACCTTTTGTACTTGTTATCTTTCCCTTTGAATTCTCACTTTGTGTTGTTGTTTGATTAATGACCACTATGTGTGTGTTAAAATTTTGTACCTATGTTGTTGTTTGATGAATGTTCATGTTTATTAAGTTTGCAACCATGTTGATGTTTATAACCACTTACTGCACTGCACTATGTATGAACTACATTTACCAAATGATCAACAACATGATTAAATTTTTCCCTAAAGTAACTAACCATTCCTTATGCAAACAGTAAACAGAATTTGAGTTCATCTCCATAACCACAAAATCACACCATAAGCAAACTAAAGTAAGCAGAAACTAACCATAAAATCAAGCCATAACCAGATCCTGTTGTCATTTCCATAACCAAAATTCTTCACTTACAATTTCATAACAAACACAATTCCAAACAAAAAGAACTTTTCCATAACCTGAACCAACTAAACCATCCAATTTTCCTACCATTCAGTCACAATAACAAAAACACCCAAATCAGTTAATATCCAAAAACCAACCAACCATCAACCAACAAAACACCCAAATTCAGTTTATATCCAAAGACAACCAACCATCAACCAAATCACTTATTTGTTTACATTCTTTCCCTTCTTTTTAGGATCAACATATGGAACAAGACTACTGATAGAGGTGTACTTTTGGCCACATTCTTTGAATATCTCTTTCAATCTTGAATCTCTCTCAGTTAGACAGCTCTCTTGGCTAGGTATGAAATGACCACTAACAAATGGTACTGGTCCTCTGATGACCACTCCTTTAGTGGGATGTCCCATCTGCATTTGTTGGTAAGGAGTTGGGGCAACTTTGAACCATTGTGATGGAGCAGGGGCAGTTGGAGCAGGGGCAGTTGGAGCAGGAATAGATGGAGCAAGGACAGGTGGCGCAGGAACAGATGGAGCAGGAGCAGGAGCATGAGTAAGAGCAGGGACATGGGCATGTGGAGTAGCAGATTTATACCACTTTGTTGGAGCAGGAAAAGCAGGGAGAGGGGCAGGGGCTCGTGGAGCAACATGTATAGTTTGGTTTGTAACCTAACAAGTAAGTTTTGTTTGTGTTAGTT